GAACCAGGCTGGCAAAGCTGGAAAGCCAAGAGGAAATCGTGAGATGTCACAATGTCCTCACCTAGGATAAAGCAGAGTTTGTGATTTGAGGCTTGTGAAGAGAGGGTGTTAATGAATTCTTCACCAATCGCCGGTCCAAGGCCAGCCCAATCATCAACATTGGCAGGTTGAGGGAGTGCCACAGAATTCCATGGTGTGCGTGCTATGCGCTGCAGTTTAAACGCTTCAATAGCTGCCCTGGTGTAGAATGCGACGTTGCAAACATCATCACGGCCATTGGTCCAGATCATACCAACAGACGCAATTTGCTGGGGTGTGCCAGGCACAAAACTGTTGCCCAGCTCTGAAGCATACTGCTTATTGTCAAACACACCGGCCTTCATTTTTGCAGTGATTGAAGACTCAGCAATGGTGTTATACAGCAGCTGTGGCCCGTACTCAACGTAGGGTCTCCACGTTCGGGCCTGTTCACCAAGTGCCATATTGGCAGGTCTTGGAAAAGTGCTGAAGTTCGATACACGGTATCGATTAGTGTCGGCTACCCATTCAACCATCTGATTACCAGCGTTCGCGATGGAGTGCGCAAAGAAAAGCAGGCTGTCCAACGGCTGGGCATTGAAGTCAACCAAGCCACAGTATCCGAAATGTGAAACTTCCCGACTGTTCACACAGTTATCGCCAAATTGGCCGACGACACGGCTCTTGGTGTTGTCAAACAACTTGACCCGTGGTGGAGGGGGTGGGGGCGCACGCTTGGATCTGGGTGGGGGTAGGTCACCTCCCTGCCGTTTGTTAGATGGAGTGCCTTCAGTCCCTCGAGAGCAACTTTGCCCACCCTGCTTAGAAAGGGTGTCTGTGCTGGGAGCTGGTCGCTGAAGCTGAGCTTTAGCTCGTGATCTGGACCTCGAAGCAGAGGTGGGGTGGGGGCAGTGGGTGTGTGTGACTGTCTAGGGCGTCTGGTTGAAACAAGACGTTCCACTTGCTTCACAGGGAACGAAGAGACTGGTACACCAGCAAAGTGAGACTTGGCATTCAAGGCGCGCTCAGGCCCGCACGGCGCCGGAGCAGGTGTCCTCTGAGATGTTCGTGCTTGGATGCTTGAGCTGGCATCTTCACCTTCCAGTGAATCAGGGGCTTCTGGGGCATCGCGTAGCGAATCAAGCAGGACATCCCTAGTAGCCAACTCACGAGCAACAGCATTGATAGCAGATAGGTCCGTCATCATGTGTGGGTTACTGCAAAGAAGAATCCCCATTTTGAGCCAATTACGCCATATAGTTTATAGGGGTTTTCATCAGTCATCATTGCGCCCTAGGTTACTGACGTTGGAATGCCCGCTTTCACCATCAGTGAACGCTAATGGCATCCCTTATCCGGGGGGTCGGCGTGGGGGCCACACCGGCCCCAGCCCAGTGGATTGCTGGGACACGTTCCGGACGCCCCTTGCGGGGTTGATAGAGGGAGCCAGCGACGCGGGGGAGTGGTTGCGCATGCGCGTGGGCGGGGTGTGGTGGAAAGCCGGTCCGATGTAGTACACACTTTACAACAATATAGCCGAGATTGTTCTTGGTTGTCTTTGCTTCTATTGCTTCTTTTAAACGTCGGTCAAAAATTTCGCGGGATGGAAGTTCAAGCTGGAGGGCCATTTCGCAATTTTGAATTTTCACTAGAATTATGAATTTTGATGAAGTGTGGAGGAGGCGAGGGAGGGTGAGGGTGACTGGGGTGCCTGGCAACAATACTGGCACTGTGCAAATGCTTGTTGACACTTTCTCCACTTATTGCTTGGCTACCATAAATTCTAGCATCTTTCATAAAATGTTTAAAAGTCATTTAAAAGTCACCATGGTAAGCCGTTCGGCTAATTACCTCCCTGAAACTAAACGCACCCTCACATACAATGGTCATAATTTTTTTTGGTAGGAAAACGTTCGTGCAAACAGCATCAGCAGAGTCGGTGGCCAAGGGCAGCTGTACAGTAAGTGCAGCTGCACCAAGAAGTGCAAGGGGGCAGTGCAAGTGCTAGAGTGCCGCCGCATACGGAAGAACTCTCCTGCTAAAACTGGCACCGCCAATAAAAATTTACACAAGTCACAAGTATGTTGCACGGCATTTACCGTTTTGGGCACGGTAAATGCCCGATTATACCAATGCTACCGGTCAAACCCCGGATTCACCACCCCAAATCGGGCTTTTACCAAACAGCATCGGTAAATCCGGGGTTTGACCGGTGAACCCGAGCCAAAATAATTGTTAAGGATGCTTTTAGTTTGCTATCAGTGCGCGGAGGGTCGCGCAAGGGATGCCAATGGGTCGTCAGGGTTCGTCACTGCCCGCGTGGAGGACTGGAGTGCTATTACGTGCGACTCTTTCGCCCGCCTGCCTGCCCGTCTGCCTCTCTCCCCGCCTCGGCAGTTCGCTGCCTCGTTCTGAAGTTAGGAGAAAGGAGTTATTTACAAATAGTGGACGCTGATTGGCCCGTCGGTCTGCGCGCGCGCGCGCTCCTCGCTCGGATCGTGTGTGACGTTACGCTGCCGTCTTCCCTACGCGATTACCTACGCGACGCGGACCACGCTCATCGCTCTCGCTTTGCCAGTTAGTGATCATTTAGTTTCTATAAAGGACGGGTATCATCCGTATAACTATTTCGGAGTGAGGGTTCGCGATCCTCGAGCCGAGCACCGCCGCCGTGTGGCTCTTCAAGTAAATCTGAGGGTTGGCCTAACAGGGAACTTATCTAAGTGTTAGTCCCCGATTTTGTTCCGCCTTGGGGATTTTTTAGAGTGACCGTATACAAAACGATTGGCAATGAAAATTTGTGCCCAATTTCATATTCGTATCTATAGGGGAAATCCATTTTCTCCACAAATGACTGAAAAAAGCGAAAAAGAGCATTTTTTTCTGAAAAATCCAAAAATGATCAACAGTTTGTATTTAGTTTTAAAATGCTGATTTAAGGCCGAATACCGAGGGGTGGATAACTCCCCTGCCAAGTGTACACCCCTAATTCTGCCCAATTCAAACTAATTCAGACCAATTCAATTTAATTCAAACAAATTCAAAACTAATTCAACTAATTCAGTCTAATTCTAGACAATGTTCAGCCAATTCAAGCCAATTCACGCTAATTCAGAAACATAAAATCGCAATAATTCAAACCAATTTAAAATCAATTCAACCAATTCAGTCCAATTCAAATTCAATTCAAGCCAATTCAAGCTAATTCAAATTCAATTCTTGAAATTTGTACACCCAATTCAGGAGTTATCCACCCCTCGCCGAATACAAACTGGTGGCCGTTTTTGGATTTTTCAGAAAAAATGCTTTTTTTAGTCATTTCTGGAGAAAATGGATTTCCCCTATATGGATACGAATATGACATTGGGCACGAATTTTCATTGCCAATCGTTTTGTATACGGTCACTGTACAAAACCCCCAAGGCGGAACAAAATCGGGGACTTACACTTAGATGAGTTCCCGTAAGGGATGCCATGAATCCCTTTATGACATTTCGGTGAACAAATTTCGAAAATTATACCGAATGCCCCAGCACGTTTTCTTCGAGTTGGTGGAGTTATTGACTCCCTTCTTCCCTCAACGCCACCACCACAATGCAGTGCCACTGCCAATTAGGGTATGCTCCAATTTATCTTATTAAAATAAATGTTGAGGCTTTAAATTATAGGTGGGTCAATAATTTGCTTATTTCCTTGCAATAGATTTTATGTGCTGTGGGTTTATATGCTTGTGGGTCATATCAGAGGATGTATGGAAGAGGAGCTGACATTAACATCTCCCAAGCAGCAGTTTCCAAATTCATAACTGAAGTGACAGATCGACACTTGAAAACTATAAACCCGTAGTTCACCAGGCCTCCGTACAAACCCGTACTTGGCCAGGCCTTCGTATAGACACGTAGTTGGTCAGGCCGCGGTACAGGCACGTAGTTGAGCCGGGTCGCTCAATAGGGTCGTAACTGCTCCGGGGCCGGTTCCGAGATAATGCGAATCTAAGTTTTGGGCTGTCCGTATGATTCGAGGAGGTCATGTTCGATATGTTTGTCGGTCCTGTACAATAGAGTGGTACTTAAGCTTTCATTTGATGTATGTGATGTTGCACAAACATGACTAGAAACTTTGGAAAAGCGTTAAAACCGAGACTGTGTCAGCGGGTCGCCCGACTTACGACTGTTTAGGTGGTAATTCCTGCAACTCGTGCCTACCTCATTCAGGGTAAGTCGAACAGCCTACTTAAATTGCTGTGAATAACCTGCACTTCTGCTACTGGACTTTAATTAATTTTATCTGAACTAACCAACAAGAAAAGTTTTGTGTCTGATAAATTTTTTGCTAATTATTTGCTAAAGGTAAAATTCAGTTTGGGATGATTCTGTTAACGAATAATAATAAACGTCCTATTTTAACAGTAAATTTTACGATGAATGTATAGTATGGATTGGATGTTGTAGTCTGGTTCACAGAAGTTGAAAATTGTATTGATGGAATCGTTTGCTGCAGTCTGCTTCTCACAGCTTTAGGTATTTTTGCTTTTATGTTCAATTTTGATTTGATTAATTTCACTGTTTTTATGTTGCAGGTTTGCTCTGTATAAATATGTCTACTTTTGAGTTCCGAAGTGTGAGGACAGCAAAACTGCCGGCACAGAACTGGCAGACAGTATTGAAACAAACACAACCTTGTGAACAACTGCGTGAACTTAAATAAAATATTGTTCTGTTTCTGTTAACTGCTGTCCATTTCTGGCATTCCCTTTGAAAATAACAAGTAGGAGAAATACTGAAAATAATGTTTATTTTAAAAACAGGACAACAAAGGTTTCCATTGTTTAAAAAAATTACAGGACAAACAATATTTAAAACAAAAATATGATATTATGCCACTGAGGAACAAGTATTTTTTTCATAAAAATATAAGGAAGAACAAGAGAACAAAAATTATGGCAATGACTCAAATTGTTCTCTTTATAACATTGTGCAAAATGTGAGATATGACTCTGTCAGTTAGGAAAAAAAAGTCAAGAACCTAGTACTTAAAGTTAAAATTTACATTTTAATTGTCACTTGCTTCGTTGAAACTTTCATTTGTACTCTCATCCTGGTAGGGAATATTGTCTGAATTATCTGCGTCACTATCCACAAAATCTTCATCAGAGTTATTATTTACATCAGGATTCTTACCTGGACCAGACTTATCTCCATCTTCCTTGTCAGCAGTAGAGCAGTTTCTAATATTTTCCTTTGCAATTTGAAGTTCCTCCTCATAATCAGACTCTTCGACTTCTTCATCATTTTCATAATCAAATAAAAATTCTCTTTCTGCTGTCAGTCTTGCCTCTTCATCCTCACTCAATTCATCTTCATTGGCATCATCAAAAATAAGTAATGGGTTTTTCAAGTCAGGGAAATTCAGTAGTCCTTTGTAAAAATCATGCTTATGAGAGGGTATCACAAGTTCATTGCACAAATTTGCTAAGTCAGTTAGTTTTTTAGCTTTCAACGGCAAAGGACCATCAAAGGCTTTGGGGACCAAATACGTTGTTAAGTTAACTTGGCCGCCTACCTTTGTTATTTTGATTTCTACAGCGGTAGGTGCAGTGAGGTCATGTTTCACAAATACTTTGCCAGGATTTTCTCCATCAACAACAATTTCTCTTACACTCTTCCACTTTGCTTTTCTGTTGGTCCAATTCTGCAAAGTATCTGCCAGTGGATGAAAGTCTAATATATCTGGGCCAACAAGCTTGATATCGTACTTGCTCCCTTTCCTTTTAGCGTTCTCAATGATGGGCACTAAATCCTTGGGAACATAAATTTGCTCATATCGTGCTGCTTTTTCTATTGTGGAGTGCATTGAATCAGCTTCATTCATAGTGTGGCCACGTTCCATGTACCTGTGGGTGATAGTGATATTATACTGAGCCGCAGCCCATGTGTAAGCAGAAAACAAATATTTGTTTTTGTTCTGCCCGCCACAATTGTCTGACCAAATAAAAAAGTCTGTTATTCCTTCTGAAACTTTTTTCTTGATAAAGAGAAGGACACATGTGGCAATTTCATTGGCTCCTCTTTTTGCCTCACTCTCATCCCAAAGATAGCAATATCCTTTCTTGAAAGTTTTGTCATAAACAGTGAAATTATAAGTTGACAACTTCCTTTTGTAAAACACCATGCCTGCTTCTGTTTTTGGCAAGGAAATAACTTGTTGTAAGTCCATTAAGCAGTAACAGACAGTGTCACTACATGCCTTAGCCTTCTTTTCATCTTCTTTTCTTGCAGCTTTTGCGTTCTTCTTATTTCTTAAATGCTCATCAAACTTTGCTTGCAATTTCATTTTCTGAACAGCTGTGCCAATTTCATAAACTAGGCATAAGTCACAGCGATCCTTCTTTGGCTTGTGAAATCCTAAGTTGAACTGAGTGCAAACAATTTTCCTGTACCTTTTTTCTGATTTAATGGCTTCATCAGGTTTATTTTTTGACATCCAAGTTTTGTAAAGCCGCCACATTTGCCTGATAGTGAGAGTAGGAGACAAATATTTCCTTTTAGATCTCATGCGGCAAAAATGTGAAGGTACTGTTTTGAACAAACCAATGTGCTCTTTTATATTACTATCTTGTTTATTTTTTTCTTCAGGATGAATTTTGGGGTGCTTGCCTCGCTTGTCTGGAGAAGTAACGGTGCCACCTCTTTCAAGTTTCTCTACCTGTGTCCTTACTGGACTTTCTGATATTCCCAGTGTGTTTAGAAACATAGTTTTACATACAAACAACTGTCCAGTTGGAAATTTAAAAGAATACTTGATGGTATGAGCTCTTGGAGTCACACCGTCACCAGTCTTCTGTACAGCTGGTTTTTTAATTGTTATAGACTCACGAATAAAACCATCCTGCTTCTGCTTCTCTCCCAGAGCCCAGTATTTTTTAAAAACTTTATCTCGCTCCTCTTCACTTATTTTCTCATGGCATTTAAATCTACAGTTAACACAGGGTGGTCTCATCTGTCTTGCTTGTACTATTACTCCTTTCATACTGGTGTATTCTTTACCTTGATTACAGGCTGCTTTTGCTTTGTCCTGTTTTGATAATGTTCTTTCTTTTTTCCTATATGTCACTTTCTGTGGAGTAACGTTACCCTCATTTTCTTGCAAGATTTCATCTAAATCAGCTAGAGGTGCAGCTAATGCCTCTTCATTTGTAAGACTACTTGCAACTGAAAAGACAGAACTAAAATTAGTATTATCAACTTAAATTAAATACATTCAATAAAGAACAATAGTTCAAAAAGCAATGCTTACTTTCAACTTCTGAAGAACTATTAGGCACCTCTGGTGTCTCAGGTGGAGTTGGTGGAATAGCAAATGTTGGTGTTGGCAAAGAATTAATTGTTAGGTCAGCATTTTTAGATGTGGGAGTACTGTTTCCTGTTTGGGCTGGGGTTCGAAGAATAATTGGCTGTCCTGGAGGTAACAAGCTAGATTTTCTGAATAATTTTGTGAAATTCTGCATCTACATCTTCAATGTTAAGAAATGGCAGATCTTCATCTAAATTTAAAATCCCTGAAACAAGGACAGAGAAAATAATGTTTTTGTTCATATCAACATAATTTCAATTTTCCACCCATCAGATTCCTGATAGATGTTTTAAGCTCACCAATAGGATTGTCCTCTATATTAATTGTTATGGCATCATCACTACTAGTCAAATCTCCTTCTGAATTAAAACCTGTAAACATATGTATGGGGTCAAGAAACAGTATTCTTAAAGAAAAAATATATTCAAAGAAATAGCTTTTCAATAATTTACCATCTCGATACCTTCCGTCGAGAAAGACTCGGCCGCGCGGCCGCTGCTGAAAAAGGCTTGGACGAGCGACGGCTACAGAAAACGGCTCAGTCGGCGGGAGGCTGCTAAGAAAGACTCAGTTGCGTTTTGGCCGCTCGACTCTCGTGCACGTTTGAAGCGCTAGGAAATATCGGTGGTATAAGATATACATTTTCTGATAACGGCAACTGATGCAGAAATGTTTCACCTATCGTTCGCCGTTTTCAGAAAATTTATATCTAAGACCACCGATTTTTCCTAGCGCTTCAAACATGCACGTGCGTCGCGCCGCCAAAATGCAACTGAGTCTTTCTTAGCAGCCTCCCGCCGACTGAGCCGTTTTCTGTAGCCGTCGCTCGGCCAAGCCTATTTCAGCAGCGGTCGCGCGGCTGAGTGTTTCTCGACGGAAGGTATCGATCTGAGATAGGTGATGGTGGTGTCAGAAGAGAACTTCTTGGTATAGGTTTTGGAGGAGTAGGAGTTTTAGCCCTAGGTGCTGGCACTGGAGGAATAGCTTTCACAATTGTCGTTCTGGGTTTGGGCACTGGAATGTTTGATTTGAGACGGGGAACTGGAGTAGGAGTTAGTTTTGGTTCCGAAACTTGTTTGACTGACAGTCTATCCATTTCATCCGCAATTAAATCTGTTGAAGAAAAAAAATACTTAAGAAAATATTCTTATAAGGTTGAAAACTATTCATAATAAGAATTCACTTACCATCGTTAATAACTGCAGGGGAAGGAGGGCTAATTTTTTCAATGTTTTCAGAAACATTTTTAAACGGCACATCAGCAGGAGTTGAAGTTACCCCATCCTTAATTGACATTTCCCTAAATTGACTAGAAGTTGAATCAATATCTGTTGGTAAGATTGTATATTTTAGTGGAACAGTTGAAAAAGTAGGTTTAAAATTATTATGAAAAAGAGAAGAAAAAAAATATACCTTTGGTTTTTGCATTACTGGTAGTTTCAAAGCCAAAATGTTTTCCCTCCATAGCTAAAATAAAATAAAAAGAAAACATGCACAAATTTCAATTAAAGGATGAACATGACCAGATATGCAACTCATGACAATAAGCATATGTTCACAGCAGTATTATTTTCTAATCAAATTTACCAAGGCAAGGCATAAACAAAAGAAAAAGAAAGACTATTTGCCAATGCGTCATTGAGTGAGACAAAATGACTTCAATGCGTACAGATGAAAGGTCGAAGAGAAAACTTGAAACCACATTATCAAATAATATCTTTCACAAGTCATTAACTTGTATTATAGTATGTAACATTTCCCTACTCAATTGGACAAAAAAAGCAAGAAAGGATTGTGAAGAAAAAAGTACCTGAAGCTTTAACAGCACAAGAAGTAGTATCATGCAGAATATTTCTTTTTTTTACATACTGTTCATCAGCTGTTGTGGTAACCATACTAGTTTTTTCAGGAGTAAGTGATTTCCGTTTGAGTCCACACTCTGAAAGCAAAATACATTAATGAATAGTCTTATAAGAGTCCATCAATGCCCACCAGGGCTAATTTTACATACTTTGACTTGGCGGAGAGGGTTGATTTGCAGTTACAGAAATATTCATACATCTGGCTAATAATGGTTTGTGGATAGGATAAGCCAACTTCCTTCTCACTGAGGGGTTAAGTGACTCATCTAGAAATAAAGGTAGCAATTATAATCAGGATTCCTCAAATTAACAGGTGCATAAGAGAGTGCTAACTGTACCTTTTTTCATTACAGCTTTAACTCCAGTGAAACCACTCAACCCAAAGATCTTATTGGCAGGTGAGGTCAGTGGTGAGGAAGGTACCAAGCTCTTAATGGGTGTTTTAAAAGATGGTGACAAAACTGCACTTGAATTTTCTGTGAAATAAATTGTTTAGTTTTGTGAGTATAACATTAAAAACAGTACATTGTTATATGCAAGAATTTGGTAAATAAAAAGATACAGAACCTTTCTCTCCTATATCTTCATCAGACTTGACACTTTTCTGAGCAATGTTTCCATGGTTTCCATCAGTAGGACTGGTGCACTTGAACGGAGTGACATGAGAAATGAGCTTAGGATTTTCACTCAAATGTGGAGAAGAAATTGCACTAGAACTTTCTGCAAGAATTTTTTTAGACATAAGAAATTATATGAACCAGTGCATTTGGCTATAAACAGGGAGGGTAGAATAAATACAGTACCGTTTCCACTTAAACTTGCAGTAGACTTACTACTTTCATTGGCATGTTTCTTTTCAAAAGCAAGGGCAGTAGGTGCGTTAATTATGGAATCCAAATTGCTGGCACTTACACACTTTGATTGAGTAGTAGAAGTAATCGTACCTACATTAGTGACTGGAATCAGTATACTGGAACAGTCTGTAGGAAAATTTATAATTATATTTTATTTTTAAAATGAAAACAATGATGCATAGAGTTATAATAGTTGTCCAGAGCAAAACCACAGTACCTTTTGATGAGTCAGACTTTAAACTTTCCACAGGAATACCGCCTTTGTTTGAAGAGGCAATGACAGACGGGTTCATGGAATTCAAATCATTCACACTTGCGCTCTTTAATCGAGTGACAGGAGAAGTAAACTTAGCCTGATTGGAGCAAGATGCAGGGGAGAATGCACTGTTTCTTTCTGTAAGAAAATTTATCTTTTTAATAAAATAGTTAAGAGGAGATAACACACTTTTAAAGAACTATAACACATAATCAGCTTACCATCATTCAGTGGAACTGCACTTTTTGTTTCACCTGCATGTTGGTTGATCGCATTACTAATAGTCTTGTTGATATATGAATCACTCACACTGACAGGTGGGCATTCACTCTCCTGATACTGGTTTTCCTGAAGCCATGTGTTGACTTTGTTATTTCCAGCTACAACAAAAAAAACAACCGTTATTAATCAAATGCGCACAGTGACAACATAGAAACTACGTAAAAGTGTGTCATTTTGAAAAGATTATACTACTTGTTGTTACTTAAAGCACAATCACAACTATAACCAAGTAGGTCAACCACCCTACCATACAAAGTTTTATGCAACAAAGTATATAAAGATCTTTGCTGTGTCATTTCTCATAAAAATAAAAATCTTACTCAAAGATTATAATTTAAAAACATCAATTCATAGCACACCAATATACTCATGGGATGACACAGATCTCCCCTTGAGTGAAAACCAACAATGTTCAGACCGTGTTGGAAAGAATTTAGCAAGAAAAAAATCATAGCCAAAACTCATACATGCTATCATAACCTTATCTTGACAAAAGTTTTTAAGTTACCACCAAAATCAAACAAGTTTGACTGAAACGACATGTTCTACTGGCACACAAGAAAACAATTTCAGACAATTTGACAAAAATATTTACTCACTGCACATCTCTTTTGGTGGGCGGTTTAACCTCTCCGCCAAGGACTTTTTCCAGTCCGATCTCGTTAACTTGGCATTATTCTTAGCCATGGTCACAGCTCTGTCAAATAATATAGAATCATAAAATTGATATTTTGGGTTTGTAGAAGCAGCCAAACAGAAAACACCAATAAAACTCAATACTTGCCATAACTCCCCTACTTCACTCAACGGGGCACTCCTCCTCGGCTCACCGACCTTCTCGCACCACAACGAACGAACGCCGCCCCCGCCAGCCCGAGCCGGCCCGAGCCGAGCCGAGCCCCGAGCCGAGGGCCCGCAACTCGACTTGCGGGTCTTTAGGGGGAAACGCGAAGAGCGCTCCCGGCGCGGCCGAAATTTTGAATTGGAATAACTTCTGAACCAAGCAAAATTTCGGAGTGGGGTTTTTTGCGAACGATAGTCCTTTCTTTTCTCTATCCAAAACGCCACTCAGGTCAAAAAGTCCGAAAAACATAGTTACGACCCTATTGAGCGACCCGGCTCAACTACGTGCCTGTACCGCGGCCTGACCAACTACGTGTCTATACGAAGGCCTGGCCAAGTACGGGTTTGTACGGAGGCCTGGTGAACTACGGGTTTATAGTTTTCAAGTGTCGAGATGTTTTTAACACACCTCAAGTTATGTCCATGTTTATTCGTTTTCCAAATACTCCTGCACAGTGGGAGGAAACAATTGCAAGGTAATTGACTATTTCAGTATAATTTGTTGGATTGAGATGTCCTTGTATGACAAAATATTGTACTACAGGAATGGGTTACTTGGACTACCAAGAGTGCTTGGCCTGGTAGATGGCACTCTTGTCAAAATATTTCCCCCAAAGTTGGCAGAGTTCAGAGAAGGGTACTATTGTCGAAAGGGGTACACAGCTCTCAACGTCCAAGTGGTAAGTTAAAGTCCATGCCTCTGCTGTGTGTTTCAGTATGTTGAACAAACTAGAATTGTGGTGATATTTGTCCACAGGTGTGTGATACCAACTTGTATATTATGAGTATTGATGCACGTTACCCAGGAAGCTGCAATGATAAATTCATTTTTAAGAAGAGTGGGTTACGCGACATAATGAAAGAGGCATATTGGGATAACCACTGTTGGCTACTTGGATATTCGGGATATACATATGAGCCATGGATGCAGCTCCCTCTACCTCATGCAACTCCAGAAACACCTGAAGGAAGGTACACAAAGCTGCATTGCAGAGCACGCAGCAAAGTTGAGCGCTGTATTGGCTTGCTAAAAGCTAGGTGGAGATGTCTTTTAAATGACCGGACCCTTCACTACAGCCCAGTTAAAGCAGGTGGCATTGTGAACGCTTGTGCTGTCCTCCACAATTTTGTGCGACAGCATAATGTCCTGGATTCTCAGCCTATTGTGTTACCAGATCCAGAAGATGTTTTTGAGGATGTGGATATTCCC